AAAATCCGAAACAACTATGTTATGCAGAAAAATAAACTGAACAACTTTTGTCTCAGGGTCACATTGAAATTCTTCACCAAATTTAGAATAAAAAATAAAATTAAAAAATCATTATTTATTTTTATTTTGTTTTATTTTTTTTGCCCAGCCAGGCAAGTCACTCCGGGCCACTCTGGTAGCCTAGCAAAAAACTTAATTGAACAATTTTTATTTTATGATCATATTTAATTTTTTTATCAAATCTTATTTACTTTTATTTATATTTTTTTGTGTCGGGCAAAACTAGTATGGGATACTATCGTAGCATATGATGTCATGCATTTATATTTTTTATTTTTACACAGTTATGTGTATATATTGGGTTATCTCTTTGTAATCATATGTTCAATTTTCTACTTAATATCAAACACTGTGATATGAAATATGTTTTGATACCTTGTATTTTCATGTATTTACCAGTCTCTTATTTTTGCCTGTTAGTACACAAGTTGTATGTTATATATGGCTGGATTTTACAGTTCAAGACTATAATCTTGAGTAAAGTCGAATGTCTTCATTCATATTACGATGACAATAAAATAGTTGATACTTAGTCTTTAATGTTGTTTCGAGCATTGTACTCAATACTATGTCTAATTTCATATTTAATTAATATTACAAATAAATATTGTAGCATCGAATACACTTCAATATAACATGATTTAACATATTATTTAGTAAAGCGTACAATATACTTTAATACCGCAATATAAATACAATTTTTACAATAATTTAACAAAATAACAGAACAAAAAACATACGACTTGTAGTAAAGCGATAAAAATGAAAAATGAGATGAATCGATGCTAGATTTATTTCACAGTCTAATTTATTTTTTTATTTATGACAAAACCATTACGAAATTCACAGAGCCTCAAAATTTCAGATTTTATAAGTTTTTATGAGCGCAAAAGACCATAAAAGTTTGGGTATGTTTTTCGTTACTCTCGTGTGGTTAAGTGGCAAAAATTAAAAATTTGAGGGATCAAATAAATATTTTTTATTTTATTTTTGTGATTTTTTTCCTTGAAATATCACAATCCAATCTACAATATTTCAACTTTTTATATTTTTTCATTAATTTTTATGATCGCGAAAATTCATCAAAGTTTACATTTGAAAATTGTCGGATTGAACCCGCTTGGACCTATTGGTCGCCGCCCGTCTAAAAACCTGGTCTGTAAGTTCAGGAAGGCCGAATTTAGGTCGCCACGGTAGTGATTAAGTATACTCGGTAAGGATAGTTTAGTGTCATCATGAATGCGATAACATTAAGTATCCAGAACATCGTTTTTTATTTTTTCATCAAATATTCATATCTTATAATATGTTTTTTATTGTCTTTGACATTGAAGCACGTTCAATGTCACTATCATTAAACGTAATATTAAGTGTGCAACAGTGGCTATAATATTGCACATAGTTAATTTTTACGACGTTCAACTATGACAATATTAAATCACCAATATTTCCTGAAGTCGCGTAGCGTTAACGCTACGCAATTTTATGAAAGGTACGGGCCACTACAGGAGCGCCCAAATTCATCCAAGTAGAAACGTTTCTACTTCATTTTTTTCCGCGGCCGATAGCTGGGCCAAGTACTGGTGGTTTAAGTATTGAACACAATTTGAACACCACAATTTTGCCCCTACCCTTGACGACAGTCTGACAAAAAACTCTTGTTATGATCTTCGTTGTAATATTACATACATCATTGGGTATAGCATTGTACATACTTTTAGGGTTGTTGGCGTTCGGGTTCAGCCGAACTTCCAAACTCGAACCTGCCGAACGTTTGGCTCCCACTCGAACGTTTGGGCCGAATGCGAACCTAAAAATAAATAATAATAAATAACTTAATAAATATAAAAACAATATATGTTATGCAGAAAAATAAAGCGAACAACATTTGCCTCATTGTTACACCGAATTCCTTACCACGTTTGAAATAAAAATAAAATACAAAAAATAAATAATAATAAGAAAAGAAAAGAAAGATAATTAAAATTAGTGAGAGGGCAAGCACGCTTTCGACACCGCCATCTTTGGATATTTTTAAAATTTTCTTGGGATAGCCAAATGCCCTGAAAATTTATAGAATATTCGAGACGCAAAAAAAAAAAAAAAAAAAAAAAAAAAAAAAAAAAAAAAAAAAAAAAAACAAGACTGAGTGGCCGAGTGTATTTTGACACCGCCATCTTTGGCTATTTTTCATTTTGTTTTGGATTCGTAAAATGCCTTGAAATTTTATATGCATGTAGCCCATGTCATACAAAACTTGAAAAATAATAATAATAATTTTTAGGGCCTGGAATAAGTTTTGGCGGGGGCCGAACCCCTTTAGGTTCGGAACCCGAACGGGATTCCAAGTGCTCGAACGTTCGAGGGATTGCATGGGGACCCCCGAATGTTCAACCTGGTAACCATGCATACTTTGATATTGTAACACCTTAAATAACCCAACATTTAGACAAAGAAAAACTAATCATTGATGAATTTTAACAATACAGTATTGCATGTCATATTTAGAAGAAGTCGAATCACTCACACAAAATAACCTTTATGGTTAACCTTGCTAAATTGTGTTGAACGACATTTTGAGCTCTCTTAAAATCACTTTCAAGTTGTGAATATTGTTTCATCATTATTTCCATCCTCCAAAAAGATAAATGATTAATATTATTATTATTTATTTTGTCATCATTTTTTTTGCTTAGTTTTTAGTTAAATGTTGCAACGCAAAACTTTCAAAATACTTAAAGGCCATAACATTCATTGACTAATACACTCCAAGGGTGTGGGACTAAACAGGGTTCAATACCACACCATCATACATCAAATACACGATTGCATATAGTTGAATATACCACAACATGCAAGTTGAATACCACACCATTACGTATAAGAAAACACATGATTCAACGAAGTTAAACACCATAATACTCAACATGACCAACTATAGTTGAATACTGAAGTATTAAACGCAGTTGAATACCACAATATTTAACAAACAACAGGCAACAAGTACGTCAAACATCATAGTTGAACATTAAATACAACATTCGACATCGACATCAGTAGACATCATTGAATGCCACAATATCAACTAACCACCATATTCCTCTCCCTCTATTCATCAAACCTTTTCATCCTACAGCATCCTTTTCGACTTCTCGTTGATGATCGAAATTTGACTTTTTTTGTCATAACATTATGAATATATAATGCTCGATATAGGATTTTTGCACTTGAACACCTCGTCATCCAATAAGAACTTTAACCACTTATACAACTAGCCTCACATACTAAGATACCAAGGCTTCTTTTACGTACCATGAATCTATGTGTTGAAAATATATCTCATGGATAACACAAACATGGCTGTTACATTACCAGACTTACAAGTGTATGGATCTCTATGTGCTTAGATATTTTGTTTATCCACGAGTGTTATTACAATTGGTGTACATATGACCAGCCCGCGTTCCTGAATCATTAGCCTGCAATTCCAAGATTCATCAAACACATGTAAAACTCATCTGCCAAAATGTCCCTCTACAAAAGTGTCCAACAACGCATCTTGTGCAAGGCACAACTTGCTTTAATGATCAATGCACAACATATCCATGCCACTTTTCCGAACTATGCGTATGCCTACGCAAACATGACACAGTCTTCCCACTCCACACCTCAAACAAAAGAAAACAAAAAAAAAAACATGAAATATTATCTGTGTGCAAAAAAATGCCAATCAATCCCAACAGTGTTTGGGGCAAATAAGGGTCCTCCATACATGACTTCGCTTTTACTGGGCCCTGCTTACTCTCTGCTGGCCTTCCTGTCCTGTCCTCCATAGATCCCCCTTCCAAACTCCCTGCCTTGCCTGCCTCGGCCGCCCTATGTCAATATTGATAGCGCATGGATGGTTTTGCCAGGAAAATGGGGTGAGTGTGCAGCGAGGCTGGGGCGAGTGGTCCAGCAAGGCCCTCCTCTCACAAAACGTAAGAATCTGCTCGCACTATGTAGCTAGGTTCATGTCCTTACATGCATCCCTCACTGACTGACTGATTATATGTGTGCTGAGCTACCCGGCTTCCCTTGAATAGAACGTACGGTCATTATTGTAGCCTTATCTGGGGCACCTTTCAGTGGAAGACGGGTAGCATGAATTTGGTCAGCTTCAACGACCAGAGACGTGCTTTCCTCTTGCGGACGGCGATAGCACAAGGTGGGCTAATAAGCCATTACCCGCACAAGGCCTCATTGCACTGACGTGGCTGCCATGGTCGCGTGCATGGCAGTTCATGCAATCGTACGTCTCGGAACTCACGTTCTTGCATGCAGACGAAGCCGGCGGGCATCAACCAAGTAGGACGAGGCCACCACGGCTTGACTGGGGGTCTCGGCCATCTGCGGAAGCATCATTCACTCATGGGACTCGTGAGAATTGGGGTCCTTTTCACATTTCCCCTCAATTCCTCTCTTCTCCATTCTGCCTTCCCAACAGTGTTCCCTCGGCGTATTTGGTTTTTCCCCGCCCATTTTTCGCTGGGGCTCACGACGCGGTGAACCGTGGAAGCACCGACGACCGATTTCAACGTGGCCATTGTTGGCGGGTTCAACTTGTGTCCATTGTTGGCGGTTTTTTTCGGTGACCAGGGGCTAGCTAGGTCCCACTTACACGAATTAAGCGATATTGACCGTAGATCGCAAAGATCAACGGCCAGGATCTTTTAATCCGTGCAAGCGGGACCTTGGCCCAGTGGTGTATTTTATTTTGGTGTCCCGCCGGAACATCGCCGTGCATTATTCTTTTTTTTTTGTCTTTTTTTTTGGTTTGCGTGCCGTGGGCGGGACAGGTCAAGGAACAGGGGTGGTGGGCGAAGCTGGACCGTACGGGTGGAGACTGTCTGTCTATAGCGGAGGGGTTCCTTTTCCGTTCGTGTTAACGATTTGGCTCAGCCGGCAGCGGCAAATGTCATCTCGTTAGTCTGCGTCGAGGGCGTCGGTCGCTGTCGGTTGAACCTTTCTGCTAACACCCACCACACCATAGCTGGCGCCATCGCTGAGGGAGGAGGAGCAGTCTGCAGCGCAGAAGAAAGGCGATAACCGGCCGGGCAAAGATGAGGAGGGGACTGGGATTGAGGTTGGCCGTGCCAGCGCAGGAGTCTACTAATTTGTCAAATTGGATGTAAGTTGTGTGCCTGCGCAGCTTTACCGTTACTTTGTCAAAATGCCTTAAGAGCTTCCTCACCCCCCCCCCCCCCCCCCCCCCCC